TAAGAGGAAAGTGGACATTGGAGAAAGCCTCGGGGAGATATGTGGCGAGCTCATCTGCACGATGCCACCAGGTATTCCGGTGCTGAACCCCGGTGAAGTCATAACCAGGGAAGCTTTGGACTATCTGCTGGATGCGAGGAACAAGGGAGTCGTGATCATGGGAGCAGCGGATCCTCGACTCTCTTCCATGGTAGTGTGCAGCGAGTGAAGCTTCCGACGAGCGACACCAGGACGGAGTCCATCCGATGCTCATCGAATTCAAATCGGAATGAAGATCTAAATCCGATCGGATAACATCCCCCGTGTGCAATAAATAAAAATAGTTTGAAGTATTCTAATTGTACCACAATAATGGATTTGATTAAGTCTTTAGATTTATGAGTAAATAGAAAAGTACATTGCAATACACTTGAGATATCTTTTTATAATGTGTTGGACAGTCATTATGTCACGATTATGATAGATATAAAAGGTAAGTATGTATAACCATAAATGAGTCGTGAGATCATATATCGACAAATTAATACTATGATTACGAGGTAATCATTTTATGAAGCCAATTTTATCGTCAAATCGAATGAGCGTAATATGTGGTTCCCTATATCACATTCTAATAAAGGAAAACCAGAAACCAATTGACTCGAGTCCGATTCGGAGTCCAAAGTTGGTTTCTTTTTCGTGTGAGCCGGGAGTCTTGATTCGAACCGCTGGTCCAAAGTGACTCGATTTGGTTCGACTCAATCAAATGATTCGCGGTGTTTATGGACCTAAATTTGGGTGAAGAAATAGCGTGCTCGGTATCCGTCTCTATCCCCTTAGAGAGCGCCATGGCGGTCGGGAGTAGATCGAGGATGGCGACGCTGAGGACGACGGCGTCCCTGCCGCCAGGAGGGCCGACGCCCCACCCCCTGTAGCGTTCCTGGACGTCAAGCCACCTGTGGCAGATCCATCCGGCTGATCCACACCTTCTCCATGGTCGAATACTTCCGGAGGTAAATTCTTTGAATCCTTGCCGTTCAAATCCTATACAAACAACTGAAAATTTGATGTCCTTTGGTTTCTTGGTAATCTGTTCCAAATACGTATTTACGGGCTATGTGTAGATTAGTTAGATTGGATTAAGAAACCCTAATCTTGCATTGCCTTTCCAAAAGCATAGCGTGTTCTTGCATTGACGTATCAGCATGTAGCATGATGAAGCAAGATAGATCGTAGGGGTGGATTTGTTTGGGCATATAGAACACAGGAGTGGAAGATAGGAAGGTCATCTATTAGGGATAGATTGTCACTAGCACCGGTGGCCTTGGGAGGCTCAGAGAGAGACCTTGTTCTGTAACTCATAAGATTCTTTCTCACATTCTCTCTCAACTGCTTACCTAAATTTATGGACAAATCAAACCCTATTAAGCCCTATCTTGAGAAGGTGGAAAAGACAAGAAGGATACCCTGGATTAAAAAAGTAAGGTGAAAGAGAAGGAAAAAAGGATAAGTAGAGAAATTTTAGCTGTTAAAATTGCTAATCGTATTACTTTTTTCAAATTTTGACTTTGATTTTTACCAGAATAGCTTGGATGATTAGAAATTCAAATGAGTTAAAATGTGTCTGCTATATACATTCTAGGTATGTTGGGGTACAGGAGGGTTGAGCAACTGTGACCCGAGATGAACTTAGTTTGATCAGGTTAGCACATCTCAGCTGTTGTCTTATTCCATCGTTCTCTCCTCTCGAGGGATTTGAGAAATCCTTCTCAAACAAGTTCTTGATGGCCTATCTAGTTGCTTGAGTTATATTGGAAACTGTAATAATAACAAATTAAGGCCTTAGGTTGAATATGATGCATCAATTTATGGATCTCATGATTCTTTCATCTTTTTCTTTGAACCAGAAAAAATAGATTCCTTTCCAAAAAGAAAACAACAATTGAAAATAGATGAATGGACGATGATCTATCACTTCCAACGAGCATAAGAAACAAGCAGCATATTGATTAAATTAGTGTCTATGAACCAGTTCTAGAATGTCCAAGAAATGAGTATTTTAGTTTCTTTAATTAGCATAGTTATGAATAATTGCATGAAGTATCCTATGTGCCAAAGTCTGGTACTCAAATATAGGTTTTCGACTTTAATCACTTATAACTTTCAAAAGTTACCTATTTCATGATTCTTTATTCTTGAAAATTAAAAAAAATAAGTAGATTGTTCAATGTCGTATGCAATCTTATTGTGAGAAGTGTCATATCCTAAAATGTGTAAATTCTTCATATGTATGGATAAGTGAGTACTTTTGTGAAGGATGAAGTTTATACTGGAGAAAGAAAAAACACCTGCTTCTTATTCTAGCTAACAGAACTCTGATGCTTTATTGTAAGAATCTCTAAGTTGTCTTTATTCTGCTATATGTTTTAGAAGGCAATGCTGCAAATAAGAACTTCATAAAAGTGCATGTAAAGGATATTTTAAGAGGTTACATGTGCAAGCGCTATATAAAATATTCCCCTGATGACTGCAATTGTAACCTTGCAGAAGTGGGCATGGAGAATAATTACATAGGAAGGAAAATTAACTAAGTGGGGAGGGTCGCTGTTGTCCATAGGATTGTCTTTGGAATAATCCAAGGGGTTTTGGCCTGATGAAATTGTCATCGGCAGCCAATCAGCCTTCTTGTTTGCTTCGAGCACCATAAGCTATCTACAGATCATGTCTACTATTTGCTTAATAAGACGTCGATCCCCAAATAAACTATCTTATCTTATCTTGCTGGGGGAACATGGTTTGATGCCTGCAGACTGAATGAAGCCAGAGAAGAAAAAGCAGCTGTGATTGCCGCCAACCAAGCTTCCACATAAAGTGGAAGCAGTTGTGCTGCTCTTGATGTATCTCGAACAAAATATGTAGTAGGCTTATCAACAAAGAAAAGAGAAAATTTGAAGTAAGTTTGATGGATCTCTTTTACGGCATAGTCAGACAGGACAGGTAGTAGGCAGTTGTTCAAGAGAAAAGGCTAGGCTTCTGATTCATCCATTTGTGGAACTTCAACCATGAGGCCCTTCTCATTCCCGCTCCTTGAATATGCCATCTTTTTCATGATCCTACACACACTGAGTCAAACTTACATCCACAAGTTTGGCGCTCTGATTCATCGACAAGTTTGGCGCTCTGCAATGAATGTGCAGTTGTTTGTCAATCATAGCAACAATACTGATAACCTTTTTCTTTTAAGTTAATGTTTTAAAAGAAAATGTTAAACTCTTTCAGTTAGCATCGTAATGTAAGTGGAGCTCATGATGGTGCCCCTTGTCAGAAGCTGTAAGGAGGCCTTGCTACCACACTTGGATACATAATGAAGGTGAGTGTCCTTGTTGGTTTCTGTTGGCCAACAATTGTACGGGTCATGTACACTTGTAACATTATCTATGGACACAGGACTGGCTTGTCCTGTTGTGGGGCTGGTGGATGCAAGCGAGGATCAACACAATTCTCAACACAACAGTTCAAAGCAGCTTCGCATAATGGTCTGCAACAATCTGTGCTGAAACTATGAAGAGAAAGGTTAGTGGTTTCTCGTGTTTTATCAAGTAAAAAATATGGCTGGCCATGTGTATGTCGAAATCTGGCACAGTTTAAGAGGCTTCTCTGGAAAGTTTATCTGCATATGCGTTCCTATTGGATTACAGCCAATGAAGCCTCTTAAACTAGTGAGAAAGGTGAGGAAGATGCCATCAAATAAAACAACATTGACAAAAGAACGTGGCCCCAATTACAATAACCATCTTTTTCGTGTCCACCATGCACACCATGTGTTGGCGGAAATAAAAGTAATCAGCAGGAATCTAATTGTTGTGAAGGGATGTTGTTCTTTGGCTAGACACAATATGACAATTACTTTATCAATTTAGTGCATCCACGCAGGATGATTCCCTGTGGCATGTCATTGGCCATGTTCACTGGAAAACTCCATGCTGGTTGATTAGATTATGAGGGCAGATTCTTGAAAGCATGTTTAGGTGCCTCCTGAAGTCTTTTACTCTCCTTGGATAGATTTAAAGCAAAGCCTCCATATGCTTCCTTTCTCAGGTGTCATCCTCTGCTTCTATTTTATATAAATCAAGCTATTTATTAGATGCAGTGGTTCGGAAATGAGTGACATTCAATGGAAGATCAGTTCCGCCTAGTAACCAGCAATGGAGCAGTCGATCCGGCAATGGTAATGGCAACGCAAGCCAAGCGCTACGGCGACAACGATGGCAGATCTTCGAGCCCCACCGTTCTCAACTTTCTCGAGGTGAAAGCCGAGCGCCCGACGGAGTCTTTCGAGCTAAATGGTTCCGTGAGCACTTACCTATTGTTCCCTTCTCCTCCATGCTCTTCTCTTTGCTCTTCGTTGGTTCGGTCATACGTCCCTGCAAGCGATGTCCCTCCTGCAGGAAAACGAGATTTCCACCTCCAAACACATCAGAAACTTAAGCAGCGCAGCGCCCCTCAATGGCTGCAGATTCACAGTACCAACTCGACATCGTCGCTTCAGCAGCGGCTGGGGCATGGACCGGTGAAGCTCTTCAGAGGGGTGAGACAGAGGCAGTTGGGGAAGTGGGTGGCGGAGATAAGGCTGCCGAGGAACCGGACCAGGGTGTGGCTGGGGACATTCGACACGGCCGAGGACGCGGCCATGGCCTACGAGCTCGGGGGAGATGCGGTGCATCTCAACTTCCCTCACGCCAAGCAACAGCTCCACGTCGCCGCCCGGGGACCCGGTCATCCTCATGCAGCGATTGCTTCGCTACTGGAAGCAAAGCTCCAGGCTTCGGGCGGCTCCGCCTGCTCCACTTCTCCGTCGTGGAGCTTGAACGAGTTGAAACGAGCGTGGGAGAAAGATCTTTTACGTGTGGGCGTCGACGAGTGCGGCCCACCGGAGATGAAACGGCACAAGACCGCGAGCGCCGACAGTAGCCCGGCCTTCATTGAGTGCTCCGGGCAAGGAGCTGCACTGGGATGCAGGTGGGGTGACGATAAGCAGGATGCCTTCCTTGGACATGGACATGATATGGGATTCTCTCCCCAAACCTTGATTTCCGAGTTCTTGGACTCCCTCCGTCTCTCACTGCCTCTTAGCTTCTTTTTGTTGATCACGAGTCCCGAGAGGCCGCTTCTCAGGCCTCCGGATTTTGTCCCTCCCATTCGTGAGTAGAACAACCATATTCTTGAACTGGCTTCGAGTTCGCTTTAGGTATAATAATAATTAAAATTAAATTAAGATTTTTACACCTTGATCAATATCTCTGCTCAGGAAGACAAGTAGCAAGGGGCATATTTGATCTTCAACATCAAAATTCTTAAAGAGAAAAGGAAGAGTCACTAAAGTAAGTTGTCAGATGGAGCAAAGAAGCACTTGATGGAAGAATGCGACGTTAAAAATGATCTGAACCTATAAGAATCAGACAACCTTCCTTCCAGAGGTGTAACTGAGATATGAAGTGCCCATTGCCGAATTATAGTGCCCCCAAAGAACTGCCATACCTTTTTCTCACGACAAACAGAGAAACAACCATACCTTTTTCTCAAAACCTCTGTCGTGAGAGCGTTTACAGTAAAAGCATGCTGACCATGATGCCATGAATCAAATTCGATCAACTAGCAGCATTCATTGCACAATGTAAACAGAACATAGAGCAGCAACATACTTTTTTTAAGTTCCTCCCTAATTTACAGGCCCTCCTTACCGGATAGGTTTACTTCTCATCTTTCCTCAAAGCTTCGCAACCAGTCCATTGTGCATCAACTTAGGTGCTCCACACTCCTTGTCTGCCTCATTGGGACTAGGAGGCACGTCAACTGCCGGGGAGCAGTTGAAGAAACCATGCGGCTGGAAATTTTCAAACTAAGAATCAGTGGAGACACCAAAATGTACCTAACATTTATACAAGATAAAAGAAGCTCCAGCCGGATTCTAATCAGGGACCAAAATTTCTTTCCAAAATTTGCCACGACAAGGAGTTTGAAAAAGACAGCTCAGATACATAGAATTTTCTACTGCTAGATAACTGGATCAGTAACCTTTTTTTCTCTCTTTTTTTTTTTTATCAAACACACAATAACAGTAATGATTCCACAGGCTTTCATACAAGTCACCTTCAGATAATAGCATAAATGATCAGCTAATATTTTTCTTAATCATGCAAAGACTTCAAAGTTAAAACCAATTAACTTGAAAAAAGTATGGCTAGCAAAATTCTTTTCCAAGATAATCAACCTTGATTCATAACCTACAAGACGCAAATGCTCCTAGTATATGTGTAATCCTTAAGCCAATTCAAAATATAATAAGGCTATGTTCCATAAGTAAACAGTACAACAATCCGTGAAATGTTCATTTCCCTTCCTTATAACCAAACATTATTGACTGTCTCTAATATCAATCATTTTATATGCAATAAAGCCAAACTGACAAATACAGATGAGAAAGCTTGAAAAAGAAGTCAAACGGAAGAGGCAATACCATGAGCAAAAAGCCAATATGCTCAACAGGCATGACGGGCCAGTCTTCCAGCCTTGGGATGTGGGTGATTCCGAATACGTACCTGTAAATAAAGTTCATTAGTATGAAAATAAATCAGTGGACATCCTTAAGAATTCAAAACAAAATGGAGAATCTTGAAGTTGTACATATCTTCCAAAACAAAAGATTTGAGGAACTAATATTTAGAACCAAGGTCTGAAATAGCTAAATTTAATGCTACTAATCTCTGAGATAAAAATGTGTAATCTTATGTGCAAAAGCTGTAGACATAACACACAATGGGGAGAAAGGAATTGATTCCAAAATAAATAAATAAAGCCTTTATATTAATTCTAAATCCTACTGTTAATTCCAGATACTAACCATAGGACAATGTCAGTTTCCTCAAGGGACCTATTCTTCCTAACCCATGTAGCTAGTCCCTCGTTTATGCGTGGATTTTGATTGGGAAACTCTCCTCCTGGATACATCTCATCATGTTTATATGATGTAACCCAAAGGTTATGCTTTAAAAATGCAGCTCTTCTCAAAAATTTTGCCTCTGGCCCAGCTAACGGAAGGCAATTGGAACCAGGCATCAGCTTGTATCCTGCAGGTTGACCAGTTCGATTTACAGTTCTGGTGTTCCTCACCTGAAATTCAAAATGGAAGTCTTAAATGGTTAATACAATAACGAATAGGCAAATTTTAGTTATTTCAGCTGAACCAAAGTAGTAATAAAAACAACCACTCCAAGTCCTATCATCATAAGACATACTTTTCATTCCTTAGCAAGAAACAAAGCAGATGGAGAATTCCTGAAGAGTTATGAAAGGCTATCCTCTTAATGCAACTTCTTTCCAAAGGTGTATAAGAGATTATTGAAGAGAACAAAGTCAAAATGCACAATAATTATCTTGCAAATCCAAATTAGATAAATTATTTGGCTACCCTGAACAGATAGCATCAGCAAACAATTTGTAACCATTACTTTACATGATTCTGTGTGCTTGTCCAAGCTATCAGCTAACAATTTGTAGCCATTTAATTAAGGTCATTTGTTAGGAACAATTCTACTTCTAAGTAAATGAAAAAGCCAGCTTGGTGGAACTCCAGAGATGCTATTGGGATGTCATTCCCCATCACAGATGATGGTTACATTTAAAATCCTTTTGCAATCTGCTATCAGTAGTCTATGCAAACTAGAACACAATATTTCACATAATGTGCATGTTAAAAATTAAATATTAAAAAATCTAATAAGCAAATGAGTCAATAAGGACAAAACAGAGTAAAAATACAGTGAAGTATGTACAATCCAGTGTCGTGCCGACAAAGGTTGGCAATCACGCATAGCCTGCAACTCAGATCTGAGAAGCTTTTCTTCAGCATAAAATGCATTATTGTGAATATTATCCTTGCCAGGTTCTTCAACTTTAACATTCACCTCAACCACCTACAGGAAAGAGAATATAGCACTCATACAACTACATAGAGCTTTTCACAACACAAACAGTTCAAATAAACCAACCATTGAAACAAAACTACTGCTCATAAGTCTGGACAATGATAGTTGTTGTTGATGAAACACAGAACAAATAATTGCTGTAAAATAGATCACAATTAATCAAAATTGTATAGCCTTGGAAATTTTATTTGAAGTTTGTACTTTGTAGTTTGTACAATGACTATTACATGTACAACACAAAAATGGAAGCGAATTGCATAATACATGAACCAAAGTTTCACGACAATTATTGACATATTTGGAAATTGAAGAGAATGTTATATCTGGTCAATGGACAACTAATGGAAGAAAGCAAGATTGTGTTCCATACTTGAACAAGCAAAGGTTGTGTGTCTAAGCATGCGCGCGTGCGTGTGCATGTGTGTGTGTGTGAGAGAGAGAGAGAGAGAAGCTAACCATGTGGAACTGAGTAATCAAGCCCCTGGATACTTAGGTAGCATGGTGACCACCATGCTGATTTGGCCTCATTTACGACAGGCATCAAATTTCTTCCATGTATGTGGGCAAATATACAGTAGCACAGGCCTAGGGTGTTCTCTACACAAACCTATGTCTCAACATTATATACCTTCTAGTTTCTTGCTTCATAACTTTGCAGCAAATTTTTCATGCTATAAGTTAGAGACAACCAAGCTCAAAATTGAAATACAATAAAAAATTTAAATTTCCTGTTGATAAATTCATTGCAGTTCATCTTTCTAATGACCATTCAACATTTCTTTTTGTATACTCTTTTAACTTTAGCATCTCCGAAATATTTCAAGGTTTTCACTTTTCTTGTTTGTAGAATCTGTCCCTTTCTTTGCCTGTTTTCATATCAGCACCCCAGATTTCCTAATGCTATCTTCCTTTGTTTCCCTAATTAAATCCTCATCGGTAGTTTTGCCATTATGATTATGTAAGAAAAAATTTCTGCTAATTACATGTTTGAAATAGTTATGAGGACAATTGCAATTACAACAACAAACTTTCATCTCTATTTAATGATTGAGCCACCTCCATTTTTCATCCCTCGGTTACTCCTTGACATCATCATGAATTATTTTAGAGGGTGTACCTAACTACTTAAGTACAACAGTCAGTTAGCTGTTTTGTGACCTTAGCGAACAGCGTTCAAGTAATGGAAACAATTGACAGCAAGCCTAGTACATGGGCAAGGTTGTTCTTTTCTACCTTAGCGATCAAGGTTCTTCAGATCGCATATTGGTTCATCATTTTATTGTCATGAATTTATTAAGTTTATTTCCAATAAAATATGTCTGTTAGACATCATTAAGACAAACCCTTGGTTTGTTCACATATTAAATTTGTCCTTGCAATTATCTTACACAGCAACCCAGGATCTGTCGTACCGAACTGTACCGCCCGGTATGGGCGGTACGTACCGGTTCGACAGGTCGATACGCGGACTGCCTGTTACCGGTCCGAGTGCACTGTAGCAATGCTACAGTACTCGGCACACCTGGGTGTACCGCTCGGTATACCGTACCATACCGGTACCGAGCCCAGGTCGAAATACCGGTACGGTATGGTATTGCGAACCTTGCAGCAACCAGAAAATTTAACTGTTGTTGTATCCCAAATTAGTAACATGAGCTGATGACTGATATGAAGATAAACAAGGACTACATTAATCTCCCTGTGTAAGTGTATAGAATAGGCATAATTTAAGTTCCATTCCCAAATACTAGACTCCAGACACTCAGATGAAATCATTATTGACAAGAAACTGGAGCATAAACACAAATAAGAAACAGGTTGTTAGGTTAAATATTAACTATTACACTTTCATAGTTACCCTTAATTAATTTAGGTCAAGCAGAAGTCTGGCTGAAAGATAGAAGGTAACCACAAAACAGTAGAAACACAAAACTACAGCACAATGCAAAATATTTATCAAAAGAGTACCTGATTGAAGGCTTCATTGGGTTTACAATCAACAGCCATATTCATGCGAGCAACAAAGAAATGCTGATGAACTGGTGCATATAAACCTGGAGCTATTGTTGTACCAAACTTTCTTGATTCACCAGGTTGTAATGCTCCTAAGCTTAGAATGCCAGTCAGTTTTACTTCTGCCTCAATTTTACCATCCTGCGAGCAAGTGAACACCACTTTTAGCCATATGCATAAAATCCAAAGCATACGGTAACAACTAACAAGCATTTGAAATAATTGAATTATGTGCGACTAAATCAGTGATTGAAAATGGATGTGTTGTGTTATTCTGTTTAATGAATTAAAAGTGAAAAGTCATGGCAACATAGCAAAACTACAGCCAGTTTTATCAAAAAAGAAATGGAACTGAGATGTCATTAAGAATGCAACTGATTATAACAAAGTACTACACAACTTTAATATACTCAAACTCTCCCATGTAAAGAAACTCTGTCAATCTATCTTCTAAGAACTCAACACCACCCCCTTTTCTTTATTATTTTCTTTCCTAAAGATAGCATGTGTAGAAAAACATCTCATGCTCGTGTACAATCTATTACCACTCATACAATTTTCATTTTATTTAGTTATTTGATTTCCTGCAAGGAAAAATCTTTGACAATACTTTGGAATGGATTAAGGCAAGTGACATGACAAAGGTATCTAAAATCTCTACAGTAATGAATGTTACACCTTTTGTATCTAGGCCTTACACATGCATTTCAAGGGGTTACCATCTGTGACCATCTAGGTGATTTGGCAACTTGTGTAAACTCTAGAGGAAGAAAACACAATTAAGTAAAGAATTTTAAAATGAGATTTTAAAATTTTCAAGTTTCATTAATTTCTCTACATCTTTATGTCAGTCATGCTCAGGACTCTCCCTAATATACTTTATTAAAACCTCTACTGTCTAGCCCTAACCTTAGGGCCATGGCCCCAGGCCATCAGCAAAATAACTCCATTACCAGTTCTCTCTCTCTCTCTCTCTCTCTCTCTCTCTCTCTCTCTCTCTCCCTCTCTCTCTCTCTCATTAGTATCTTTGAAATCATTATATCACCACCTTTCAAATATAATATCATATTAAAGATGTTACACAGGTTACTGAAATGGGTTTGGTTCATGACAATGTATGCTACACAGGTTGAACTTTCCTAACCCAATTACAAATGGGTTTGGTTCAGATTAAACAAGTGTATGTTCACCCAAAATTAATCCAACACAAAGGAGTATCATGCCAATTTGGCAGAATTGCAACCCCCAACTTTTCTTATATACTATTTCCATCATTAGGAAATGGCAAGCTGTCAATTTGATTTGACAGAATATTAAAAGCCCAACCAGAAACTCTATCTTGTTATATCTCTCTCACAGACTTGCATATGGGTCAGAGCCTCCAAGTACAAGATAGAAGAAACAACAGGAAGCTCATCAGGAACCAGTTACCATAGTTTCTGTTTGCATTTTCACTGCATGTTGCACAATCTATCCAAATTAAGTTATGACAGCTACCTATAATAACAACAACAAACCAAATGAGATAGGAACATTTAAATTTTTTTATATGTTCTAATAAAATCTTTCTAGGACTGCTTGAAGAAGCATGACCTCGTCATCAAGAACCACGACCGCTTGAAGAAGCCCTCGCGGTAGAAGAAGCTACCTCCCTCCTACTTTGACTCCTCCGCTTCTGGTCCCGATCTCCCTCGCCGACTTTGTCGTCAAGAACCGCGACCGCTTGAAGAAGCCCTCACGGAAGAAGAAGCTGCCTCCCTCCAACCTTGCTTCTAACTAATTTATGTCTCCTTAACACATATCTATACCATTTTGAATGTTTATCCCTCATTTTATAATTTTATCCTCTATCGCAGCATCTATAGGTCTACTAGCAGATAGCTAATCCAACTAATTTTTGTCATATACTAGATCCTCCTACCACTTACCCTGCAGCACATCATGTAAATTTCATGCTCATGCATTTAGAATAGATAGCAAATCCTTACAACTTATAAGAACCCTAGTTTCATGCTCTGTTACTCGGTCCTCACCAATTAAAACCTTTCTCCACTTTTGCTGCAAATTATGACTTCTTCCGCTAATAGCAGATTATATGTGGTTCACATGTACTTATCATCTTTCTTTCCGTGCCTCTTTTTCTCTCCTACCTTTTGTAGGCCTGATTCCTCTTGAACACAATCATGTTTTAATCAATTAATTGATTTCGAAATTATTACCCAATGGCCTACTAGCTTAACTGTAAATCTTTTATGAATTGTTAGTAAACTACAAAATACTCTCATGGACCTCATTGAGAATAGGTTGTGGAACAATTGGCCAGTGCACAGATGAATAATACCATGTTAGCTTTGCTCCACATGGCTTGTACCATGTTAGCTGTGTGTGGACGGATGCTAATGTGCCAAGCATGCAAAATCAGAATTTTCCAGTCAGAATGTGCACAGCGGCACATGTGAAGCATGCTAATCCAGCATATAGCGATGGTGCATCTGGTATAAAAGAAACACGTAGAGTTACAATTAGTTTGTTAAATTTTAATAGTATGGTCAATAACAAAAGAACCTGAACAAGGAATATCTTCCACTAAACATATGTGAAAGATTTTAGCCAAGGAGTCTAGAGGTAGATAATGAGAGGACCTCAATAATGGCTTTAATTATAACCAGCTTGTCCAAAAACAACTAAAAGCAGAGAATGCAACGTAACTTTACACAAAATCAACGTAACTTTACATCGCTAGCAACTAGAATTAGAAGCAGAGAATGCAAAATATTCCAACTTACCTGATAGAAGTGCCAAAAAAAGCCATACTCATAGTTAGCCACTGTACATATGAAAGACACACTTAGCCTTCTTGACCGCCTAACCTCTGCTAAGCCTGTTCTCCAGTCTTGATGCTTCCACAAAATCCCATGGTCTTCTTCATGCAAACACACACAATTCTCAATAGTCTCGACACCACCAGTATAGTTAGTGAAATGGGCATCAAAGTATTTGATGTAGCCCAAGCAGTCACAACCCTGGATTATTAGATCCATTGAGACAATTATACAAAACACAAAGTGCATACAACTAAGAGAGTAAAAAACAGAATAGCATGAATAGCACATTTAACCTTTTTGAGAGAATGTGCATTTTTTCCAAGGCCATCTTCTCCAGCATCAAATGCATTCTTAAGGTAATGAGGCTCATTTGGATCTCCATAAGGAACTACCATCTCAACGAAACTTAATCTGTGAGCAATAGGTCTCCGTCCACGACTACCATCAATGTAGGCCACAGAATGTATTACCAATCCCTCCCTAGGGGTGAAACCAATCCGGAAATTCCACTGTTTAGAAGCATAGCAGAAAATTATCAATTCAGATTCACTACAACATTTGCAATAAATATCGGCTGCAATATAACAAGAATACTGAATACCTTCTGCCATTGTACAAAGTAACCATTTACACGAAAACTTGGACCTTCAGGCTGCAGAATATGCAAAGGTTTCACATCACTTCGGTCAATGCCTCCTCGCATTTCTCCTGCAGTGTAGTTTCTCAAAGGATCTGCTGGAGGTAGAGGTACCAATTTTCTATCTTCAAATTCAATTATCACATTATTTTGAATATCAACAAGAACATGTATGCCTTCGACAGGACGTGCATAACCATTCTCCATGGGGCAGTCACTCTCTGTTCTACAAAATATTAGTGGCTTTGCAAGTCTGCGGCTAGGACCATCAGCATCACTGTAGTAACCAACACACCTGTATACATAGGTCAAAATAAAGATATAGTAGTTAGAAAGAAGCAACTATAAATGTCATTTGATATCATAATTGCTTATAGTAAATAAATGAACAACTCTTATCTTACCAAGCATCAACCATTACAAGATCCATATCCTCCACTCCTCTCTTTCTCATTGCCTCTATAAATGCAGGGTAATTTTTTACAGCAGCCTCACATTCTGCATATTCCATGGCATCCTACATTTAGAAAGGAAGATTACACAGTTCAAAATCATCTCATACATGACAGAAATTTGAGCTTCTAATAAGAAGGTTGCTCTGATATTAAAAAAAAATGTTGCTTCTCAACATAAAAGCACCACCAGAATAGTTGTAAATAAGAAACTTCAGGTATCTGCTTCAATCAATGAAAACAAATCCAAATATGCAATAAAAGGAAAAAACAAAGCTTAATCCAGTTGCCATGCTATACAAGATATTTGATAATTTTAGTATTTAATATATATATATACAAGCACAATTTTAGGAAAAAATGAACTCAGACCTAACAGCTGTAACATGCCACTTGTTGGGTGAATCATGAATTTAGAGGCCTAGGACAGGAGTTATAAATACTTCATGCTCAGGTTTTAACACATCAATCCCATCCTATTGTTGATGACTCGTGGCAACATCAGGGGTCAATGCCACTGAAGCCAACACTCATCCTAGTCAGGAACAAGCCCAGCTTAAAATCCTCCTAGTTTCTTCTTGTCAGTATACCTTATAGACTATGTGGGGTTTGCATCAATGAAATTTGTAGGTGCTGATGAGTCAAGAATTAATGGGCATCAGGTCAACTGTATGGTGTGCAGACTGTGATCTTTGGCCACAAGCCAGTAGTCACCAATAGCCACTGGTGTGATAGCTGGTCAATAGCAAACCACAAAACCTACACCTGTAATTAGAAGGTACAAATTCACTGTCTGGAAGCCCGTAGCACCTGCCAGGGTGCGGGGTGCACCATCTGTTGATGTTCCCCAAGATGCACATGTCGCAAGCAAAGGGAAGGGCTTGTAAATTTGCTCCTAGAAAGGTACACCAAATTTATTTTCTATAAACAGATAGAAAAAAGTTAATATCTTCATTTTTTTAATATAATATTGATGCTTTCTTCAACTAACCACAATGGAATTTTAAAGTATATCCATCTAGTGGCCATTTAGAGGATGAAAATGGTCACCATGATAAGGTTTCTCCACTTGAACCTGGATGTCAAGTTTGACAACTTAAGTTGACCCACCCCATGATCCTCGCTGGCAGATATCTGAACTAGAACACCCTTTCTTCTATCAAAACATTCAACTATTTCAATATGCTCATCCAGGTAACTGTTCTGTAAGATCCAATGTTAATAATGACTAACAAATGCTAATGACTTTACAATTTACACTGCTAGCCAACTGCTTCACACAATTCTCCTATTATAGAATTGACCAGAGCTGAAAGGAAGAACATTCTTACAGATTCCGATTATTCAAAGCATTGATATGATATATTGGACATGAAATGAGTATATTCAAAATTGGCATACATCTTTAGCATTCTATTATAAAAGCTTGGTGGAAGAAATGTGGACTTCAGCAAAATAATGAATGTAACAAGAGATAGGACCATAAGAACAAAATGGAAGTTTAATGGCACAAGGGTTTCACAAGAACAGATCAAGGTAAAAAACACAAGTTGCGATCTAGAAGACAAGGTATAATAATAAAAAGGAAAACAAGCAGTTACCCGACCCCACTACTTCTGCCTCCAAGTTAGCATAAGTGAATTGTTATTATATATTCGTCTACTGATTACTAGAAATTCTTATCTCAATTATACTCATCATTTCCATATATTATTGCGTAAATAGCAATGTAAAAAGGCATGTCTACTCTTATAACTACCCTTCAATATTCATACCTAAGTTATTTGATGGCACATGAACCTTATTGACTTCAACTATCCAACTACCGCAGGTGCAGAATCCTGTATGGTATCCACCACTTGATTAATAATGCAGCCAAGGTACTACAGACTTTGATTTCGATATAATTAACTTCAACCGTGCCTTAATTTCTTCATTCAATATTCCATAATTTCTAGTAGCTTTGCTCTAAATATCGTGGACGTGAAATAGAGATATTTAGTTTGCATTTTAGTTACTTCTATAGCTTGCTGGCCACTCTTTAAGGAGAAAGATATTGAGAAGAACGAGTTCAGCAAGATATGTTAGCACAAAAAAGATACAGGAAGAAAATTATCCAAGTTATCCGAGCAAAAGAATACTCATCAGCTATTCCAAAACCCACATACCATAGAGGGCTGGACATCATGGACAACTTCAGATGAGATGACTTTTCCCCTGTGATGGCCACCCCGAGTTGCTGCATGCACTTCTGACAGTTCGACAATCCAAATGCTTGTCTCATTTGACCTTTTGTTATAAACAACAAGCCTAGCCCTCCTAGGAGGAAGCTTACTCGGGATGACAGGGCCACCTTTCGTTCTGGGGAGCAGTGATGGTTGAAATGGGGGGAAGAAGTAGGCATCGGCCAGTGCCACAATGTTTTTCTCTGGTTCCAACAGAACTACTTCTATAAACCGCATGCCATCTCTCACCTGAAGAGAAGTTTACCTAAATTTATTCATGCCAAGTATTCACATCTACCAAAAGAAAGTTGATGAAGCAAGCAAAGCATCTAAAGTATAGTAAGAAACAAAACCTCCGGAGTTGCCCCTGCAGCCCTGACTGTTGCTACTGCAACAGATATTTCAGCCGAAGACAACGGATCCAAAGGGTGGCTTGTTTGAGCCCTCATCATAACTGGGATTCCTGCAGTTAAACCACTGAACATCATGAATCAAACAAAGCATTACAGTAACCACAAATGTACTGACCAAACTATAAGAAGCAAGGGAGAACATACATAAACAACTTATAATTTATCATATGAACAAAACAACCAAAGATAAAAGATAAAAAAAGACACCAGCAAAAAAAAAATGAAAATCGATACAAGTATGCTATTCAGACCCCTAAACCATAGCTAGGAACTGGTGTGCAGAGTCCACCTTGTCATCCAGGCACATCTAAAATGGCAAAGCCTTTGTGATGGAAAGTACAGGGGAGAAAGCAACAGGCAACTGTGCAACAGAATAAGGTATCGAGCTTCATGTGATATCCAAATAAAACATGATGCTGGCTGCATAGATAATAGATACATAACAAGCTATGTACCTCACTTCACATGTTATCACCAATCAACATGACAAGTTCATGAGAAAGCATCATAATATGAGTTTGCTTAAGCAATCAATAAATGGAACATGGTATGAAAGTGTTACTCGAATTGATAATTGAAACAAGTGCCTTAAGTCATTAATAACAGGGTTTGCCAAACTATGCTAAGAAGATAGCAATACAAGGATCTGTGCTATCCTTTTCTTTTATTTTTTTGTTGAACCAGCTCAAACATTGAACCAGCCTAATGTTCAACATAAGGAACCAGTTTTAGGGTTCAAAGCATCGGGGCTGTGGAACACCTAGAATTGTTACAGCACAGACCAAAATTGCAGTCCATGACCAATCAATAGGCTAAGGCCAGTTGGTGTCCTTTGATATCTTAGCTAGAGAATTAAAGATTCATCAAACTAGTTCAACAAAATTGTCAGGACTGAATGCGGAGACCAATCCACGATTGCATCATATAAAAACACGAGAAATATTCAGTTGGCGCATTGTTTCTCATGACAAATTACAGATATCATGTATATTCTAACAATCTAACCTTTCAATTAAAATAACAAACCGTTGAACCCTGAAAATAAAAAAAGAAACTCCTTTTGCATCAAGAAAGCTAGACCAAAAACATGCATGTTCTTAATATCTTGTCCTGATAAGATGAAAAAGACCAAGATGCAATGGAACAAAAAAGGAAAAAAAATGGCCCTGATGATGCTGGGCGAGGTCAAAGAGATTTTCAAACTTTTGAAAGCAAAATTCTAGATTGTACTGGGGGAAATGAAAAATGAACACATGAGAAAAATAAAGACAAATTAAGGTAATTAAGTTTCAGTCTAAGTACATATATCTCTTTTTAACTCTCTAACATCTATCTTCAGAACTCAGATTTGTTCCACAACATTTTTCAAAAAAGCGAACACTTAAAAACAGAAATCTCAATCCCTAACTAAGGACTTGTCATTCCCTCCCCAGTAATGCAGCACAGTAACAGCTGCTAGGGTAAAATGGTGTAAACATCAGCAGAAAGCAAAAGGAATATAGACTGAAAGTAATGATTGTTCTTAAATATATAATGAAGTTTGGTTCATCCTGTGATGTGCTTCTGAATCACTATCATACTTCATATTGACAGTAATGCTATTTTGATGTTGTGCAAGCACATCGCAGAGAGTGGCACGTGCTTTGAACTTTGAATGTGTTTGGTAAAGACTAAGCATACAATAAAATAAAGGGAAAATAATTGATATGGGTAAACAGAATTACCAGCAACTGCATATTGGTAACCATGCAGCGACAGAGCTCAATAATTGATCCATCAAACCTGGACTTGACAAATTTTGACATAAATGAGATGCATAGCATCCAGTCATTACAGCTCAGGCTGACATAACTTTTTAGTTCTCTTAGAAAGAGTTGGATGTTGGGAATAACTAGTAAACTTGATCACTGAAGTAACAAGTGCAGACAAGAATCATAAGCTGCACAAGACCCAACAAGAGGAACTTTAGTAGAAAGACAGTTGTGGCACTTGGTATTTTGTTTCCGCCTTGTTATAGTCGTTATATTATGTAATCATATAATGTAATCAGGAGTACAATCTTCAACTTAATCAATTTACCTAAAGTTCTCTTTTAAGTATTTGGTAGTAGAGAATACGTGGAAGCCATGCAAGTGTGCTATTATGAGCACAAATGCTATTAGCATAAACCACCCAGAATACCAAGTCAACCACATTAGGAAAGACTGAGTCTTTTATAATTTCCACCAACTGAAACACGCTGTATGTCCCATGATGATAACTTGAGGCAGCACTGACATATAATATTAACAATTGGGCATCATATAAAATCTTAGTGATCAATGTCCTCCCAGAACGACCATATGTAGAGAATTTTCAAGCCAGATTGGAGAATGTAAAAAGTTGATGGTTTGGCGGAACGGGGAATATTCCACACCAACACCTGAAATCTTGTTGTGTAAAATCCTTTTCTCTAATTCTATATCCGATTTTGCCCTAGCTCTGCTTTCTTTCTAATGTCAGCACATCATAAATAATTCCACCAGACCTATATTCATCCAATAAACTGCGGCTCTCCTCTTAACTCATCCATGATCGTAGAAATTTGACGGCAAGATTACTTTGACGGAACCACTTAATCAACTAACTCGATGGGATACCTATCCCTGTCATTTCTTTCCTATCTTACTGCCTGGATCTGAACAACTTTCTTTTAAATTATTCGATATCAGATCCCCGACATTGATCGACACAAAGACAACGTGATCCGTTTCTTGAATCGCTCCTCTTCGACTAGCGTGACCTCCCTACGCAGCAAAAGATTTTGTTCCAACAACCACAAAAGAAGAGGAAGGGAGGTCCAAGAAGTCGTCACCTTTGGAGGAGGGCTTCGCGGGAGGGTCCTGTACGTCCTCGACGGGGGCGATCAGCGGGCTAACGGCCTCCACCGGCGGCGCAGAAGCTTGCTTATCAACGGCCGCGGTAACCCATTCTTGTACGGGGCCGGGGACCCCTCCGGCCTTGGCACCGGCGACGCCGACGGAAGCGTGGGCGGGCGTCGCTTTTTCCTGAGTTGCGGCCATTGTAGAGGGTTGGCAAGCTCACCGAATCCGCCGTCGTAGTATCCCTCCTCTCTGCTACTGCAATCTGACATGCAGCGCGCCTCCGTAGCCTTCCTCTCTCTCTCACTCCTCTCCACCAAACCCTCCCCCTGTCTCCCTTCACGATTTGATTCTCTTCTTTAAGGTTGTTTTAGGAGAGGTCACGAAGCTGGAGAGACCAGTGGCCTCCAAGACCCAAGCCCTCGAGAGAAGGAGAACGAAGGAGAAGGGAGAGGAGGTGGGGAGGAGGGTCGTTATGGTTTCTTGACCTGAGGTTACAGAGACGAGAAGGGGGGAAGAGGGGAGATGGCGCATTTATAATCAGCAAGAAACGGTTCGACTCGGGTTTTAGTGACAACTGGAGAGAGAGAGAGAGGGAGAGAGAGAGAGAGTGGGGGTAGTACAGTAAATTTAAATGGTGGAGGTGGGTGGGACGGGAAACCCCAAGACATTTATGGAAACCCAGCAAAATCTTCGTAATTGCACTCGTGATTCATGTACTTGGGTAAGGGCAGCATTTTTTTTGCTTATTCCTTTACAAAGAAATAACTTTATTTTTTTACTTATTCTTCTGCATGAGTTTTTTTTATTGGTTTGTGATAAATTTATAAATATATGAACAATGTTTTAGATGACTTTTATAGGATATATCTCATATTTTGGGTTTTTTTCCGGATAGTACTCCTTATTTTCGCATAGATGTCATATCTTTTCAAATATCTAAAATTTTGTTTTTTTAATTAAAAAATCTTATTAAAATTAATACAATCAAATGTGAAGTTTCAATATTTTAGTTCATCAAATCGATTATAATACTTTTATTCATCAACGAAGAACATTATATGTTCATTACAAAAGAAGTAATAAGCATAGTACAAAAGTGTTAATTGTTAACTTTATCATATACTAAATGATTTATTTGAGAGTCTTTTATTTTTTTGATGAAAATCAGACTTATTCATACATATTTTAAAATACAGAATGATAAATATTTTTACTAATCAGTCTTTAATTTAGGTTTTATATATTTTCTAAAATATGTATTTATTAAAAAAATATAATAAAACGACAAGACAATAGGCAGGTATAATATATTTTAGCAAAGTTATAGTATCTTAAATCAAAAGGCAAAAATACTTTTAACTCCAGTAAAAAATATTATAATCAATCTAGTTAACCAAAATATAATAATTTCATTAAAAAAAACATTATACTGGTGTGATCTAACACTGTACAGGTTTGGTTTTCTGTAATATGAGAGAGTTTTGGCCATTTAGAAAAATTAAGATTTTTTTTACTAATATTCGAGAAATATTATATCTTTTCTCGAGAATAACCCAACTTTTTTTAATTATTTAAGTTATTGAGATTTGAGTATCCACTCAAAAATCTTTATTATTATTATTCTCATAGACCATATGCATTGATAACAATATATTTTATGATGCGTTTAGAAACCATAGACTTCTCTATGTCAAGGCAGCAAAGCAGGATTCTTTTCTCTCGCACTCTAATTTTTCTCCATGCGAGTTATTACCAAAGGAGACTCGACGTCTCGTGCAATTCAACAAGCACAAGGCGGGTTGTTTCGGAGTCGAGTGAACGAGGGTGGAGTTACCGGAGGCGGTGAGGGGATCGGGTGGAGCGGATAACGATAAGCGCGGTGGGTGGTGTGATAGGAGCACCCACTTGTTGGCACGCACCCACGGATTATATTAATTGGAAGGCATTGGACCGGGCGACAATGGATTCTTGCCCGTGGCCGTCACGCCGGGAAGTCCCACTTCAATCTGTCCTCGAATCCAGTTGTCTTCAAGTTCCCCGATGCGGTAGGAGAGAAAGAGGGAGCATGATCTCTGTCACTTGCTGTTGTGAGATGACAGCCTGGGTAGGCCCGACGGGTGCACGACCTTTGTTTTATTCTGCTCCTCACAAGCGGCAGCCAAAATGCCCGAACGGACAATCCATCATTTCCGGCCATCTTAGGGGCCACGCATTTCGTCAAACAGGACTCGTGCAGCACATGATGGTTCCACTTGTCCGCCTCGCGGTCCTCATGGGTACAGGAATCAACGATTGTTTGCGAATGCGAATCGAAGATGCCGCTCCAGATTTCAGGATGGATGTGAAGAGCGAGAAGGATTCCAGGTAGTGCTTATCTGGGTTACTGCAACTCTGAGTCAACTTATCGAACAGGTTATGGGCGTCTGTGCCTGCCGATTGGGACCTCGCAACAAAAAGTAGGCCGTTGGTGGGATTGCTTTTGCCCGTGGGGAATCTAACTTGGAAAGCAAGGCATAGAAGACATGGTGGCTGGTGGCCGCAAGCTGTTTGCAGATTTGACTGAATGGGACGCTCGTGTCGGGGCCTCGTATTTTTATACGGACGGGAGCATCGTTTCGTATCGCGACGAAAGGTTTGAGTGGCGTAAAGTCGGTGTACCGTGTGTTGGATCCGACACGATCTTTTGCTTTCGTGAAGCAAATATGCCAAGGATTGCACACCGGTTTGCGGTGTTCGTTTTTGCATATGCAATCCACGTAGGGCGGCAAGAAGAATATATTAGAATATGTTAAGTCAGGTTGTCCAACAAGTGAATGGGTTCATAGGCAACCAAATCCACTTTGAAATCTATATCAGGTTAAGATATAGGAAAGCTTTGAGAATTCTATTCTAGACCCTATAAAAATTATATAGGAAGCATCTCCGATAATATATCTCCCAGTACTTTAGTCAGTAAGGATTCTAATGATTTAATCAAATGATCAAGTAAATAAGTATAATCTCAAGAATATAGTTGGGGAACTTATGATGAGATCAGGATAAATGTCAAGAATAATTATAAATTGATTATCGATGAATCATAAAGTTGTACCGTTTAACCTAAAGTTACCAAGTAATATTTACCGAGTTAGTGTGCCGGTCACTGCATAACTAACTCCATAGGATCACCGTGATCCTATCACATCAATAGGATCACGGTGACATGTCGACTGAAAAGAAGTGACCTGTCGACGACTGTATCATAACTTGTATATTAAAATGATACGGTAATGGATCCATTGGTTTATTAAAGGAAGTTATATTGAGTGGGAAAGAACAACAGTAAGGAAGACAGGAACGGAGAATACGTCTGCCTCTTTGCATCGCGGGTAGTATCAAACTCGTGCACGTGATTTGGAGGTGAAGATTACGAGGGAAGAGAAGACAAGGACTCCTTGCCTCCGCTACATTCCAAAGCTCGTACCAGTGTGTTGTTGTTGTGCAATTAATAACAGTAGTGCTTGCCGCAAGGAACTCGAAAGATGAAGCAGAGTGGCACCAAATAGTGGTCAAATCATGTCGAGTGGTTCGCTCACGAAAGTGTGCATTAGAGTTGCGAAAGGTTGATTCCCCGAAGCACCCAAACAGCTGGGAATGTCTTGACGAAAACAACGACAATGACAACACGTCAAGCATTCTATTTTGAATTCCATCGCGTGATGATTATTGGATGATCATAGTCCCTGCGCGCAATTTAAAGCCAAATATGGGCCCAAACACGGGCCTTCCGGCCCACCAAAACAACACCCATGTTCCTTAACACGGCGTCCTTCAAACCCCCCCGTCTCCCTCGCTCTCTTTCTGGAACAGCAGCGGGTATGGCGTGGTGCGAAGGAGTGGAGGCGCCCCGTCTCCTGATAGCCCCCTGTGAGTTCGCTGCCCCTCTCCCACTTCTTCTCTTGACCGTGCCCCGTTCGTTCTCTCGTGTCCAAGATCCTCGTGTCGGTGTTGACACTTGTGGCTTCTATTCGAAAGGGGTACCAAAACGCATGACGGATGTTAGAGTGTGGATCGAAGTCTATCTTCTTGGCTGGATTACTGAACTTTACTATGGTCGGCATTGTTTATAGATATTGTGATGCCAGATCCTCTGAGATAGTAGATTTAGCGGAACTAGGGCATCTAACAGACTATGGTTATGGCCTCACCTGAGAGTAGGGATGGTATCTTCTTTTCTTATTGTAATCCCTCTGTTCTTTCTTTTCATGCTTCTATTTTAGGCTCTGCATTAAGCTCTTATAATTTATTTTCCATAGGATCTTCATTTTGATCTTATTTCCATCACCAACAAACTCTTCCATTCGAGCTATTCTCATTCCTTAAACTTGTCTTTGTGTGTCAAAGGCCAAATGCTGGTATTTCTTTTCACCGATTCTCCAACCCTTCAAGTTTAGCGACAGACAGTAGGGTTAAAATAATTGGTCACCTCAGCTCTGCGCCCTATTCATTTTTGGTCCTTGAATTCATTTGTAATGACTGTACCCTCGTTGTTGGTGCTTCATGTTGTCTTTTGTTCAATAGAATATCGTACTCCTTGAAGAATATTTTGCAAGAAAGTCCAGAGCTGAGACATTCTAGCAGAAACAGATCAATAAACACCATCGGAAGCCTTCTTACTGTTAGAGCTGCTTCCCAAAGCATGATGTAAAATTTGAAAATGCTCTGTCCCCTATCTGTTATTTATAGCAGATAACTAAAGATAACTTTATCTGAAGTCTTTGCACTAAGATTTCATTCTTTGCAGTACCTCCCATTACAAACAAAGGGGAAGATATAATTGGAAATGCAAATGCAGAAGGATGTTTATTATCTTTACGTCATCCACAATCAGGTAAGTCAATGTGTCTGAAATCTTTTTTTTTTTCTATTTTGTAACCTTGACTTCTACATTGTGTTTACCCTTGAGGCCTTTCAGGTTTTTGCATATGCACACTTTCTCATTTAAAACTGAACTGTGATCGGTCATTATTCAAAATCAATGATGTATTTCAATGATAATTATATCCTTGAGCACGATTTGGTGAGCCTAAAGTGCCTGGAAAGAGAAATCCAATCTCCTTCATTTAGTGTGAACAGAATCAGTGAATAGAAGTTCATCGCTACCTTTTTTAAGAAAGGATCCATGCTATTGATTATTATCTAAATATTTGAAGTATAAAAAGATAAACCTGTTGGGATGTATTTACATGTATTGACATATGGTTTTATTTGCATATGCAACCAGGCCTCATATAAGAGAATCAGATAGTGGAGACCTACACTAGTGAACCAAAAATTCAAATTGATGCTCGGGTTTGTTTAAAGTAATGCAAGACCTCTAAGTTGCTTATAGTGTGATACCTCAGTTGACTTGTATTGGTAGGTTGTGAGAAAATTGGATTTTTTTTATATGACTTAATTGGTTTACTGCTAAATAATTTATCCTTCTGGTTATAATGGTGTCAACACAACTCAATTGATTCTGTTATGTTATCACTGTTTTCTTGGAACAAGAAGAAGAAAGAGAATTGTTGCAAGATCAACATCTACGAACAGGGCATTCCCTAGGACTTCTGAAGGATGTCGATTGAGTTTCTTAAATGCTTGGAAATTTTTATAGAAGTAAAGAGTGCCTTTAACATATTGATTGATATATATTTTGGAAGAAATTTACACATATTGGCATTATTAAGAAAACAATTTGATATTTATAGATTTCATGTTTTACAAATTTGGGCAGTTTCATTGTTCTGGCTTCAAGAAGCTTCTAATAAGCACAAGTATTTCCTCACAATTTTCCGTGTCTAGTGGGTTCCTAATTAGACCTTAATCACAAGCTCTCAAAAGATGACCAAACAAGATACTATGAAAACTATATCTTTTTGTTTATTGGTGGCCTAAAATGTTGTTTAAAACAATCGTTCCTTAATAAATTAAAGAATATCTCAGTGTTACTCCATTTACTGAAAATTTCTCATTGGTGAGCTGATTGTATTACTTTTTTATTTTCTTAACATGCAAAAGATGCCTACCACTCTGCTTTCAGTCAACAGTTGTCATTTACTAACTGAAAACTGCAGTTTTTTGGTGTGCAATAAGACAGTTAGTAATCAGGACATAATATTTTGATAACAAGTATATTTTACATAAAGCATTTGCTTTTACTAATTTTACATCTAGTTTAACAGGAAAACCAGCATGTTACCTTCTCAGGGAAGGTTATCTTCAAGAACTGCATTGGTTTAAGCAGTCTTATGGCTCTTGGTTTCTGGGAGACTATGCTTGTGAAGGTAAATTTTTATGCTGGAATTGTCATTTATCATCCACAGATTGAAGTATATTTTCGTTTTTGCCATTGTAATAAGGACCTGTAGTTATTTGTTTTTTCTATTGGCCATTTTCCTGTACAATTGGTGGGTTAATTTTCATAAAATGATGGAATTTGAGGTTACATATGACACTTTACATTAATATGTTAATCTGACTTTTGGATTAAGAAATACTTGTCTATTATCAGCTATATGGTTGTGTAGTTATACTTTTGGCATGAAGTAGGAGCACTTATCTAGAAATTCTTCTTGCTTTGGTACCTCAGATTATAATATATGAAGAATGGATGTACTCAAGGAGGTAGACTTCCACTCCTAGCTCAGTTATGCTTAGGAAGATTGGTTCCCTTGGCAGCTATTGTCGACGGGGTTTACTTAACTCTGGGTTTTCTCTTTTGAAATGGGCTTGATCATCTAATGGATGCAATTGAACTACATAAAAACAATAACTCTTAGAATCAAGAATACTGAAGAACTTATCTAGGTGATATCAAGGAAGGACATGGACATGGCATGTTATGGATATGTTTGGATATATCAACTGTCGAGAAAGAATAGGACATGATGCAACACGGAACCGACAATTAATTATTTCCAAGAACTTAAATTATATGGTCATTTTAATTTGACATTTTCTTCCTATGGTGCAACAGATGGCAGCCTATATATTTCTACTCCAATTGACCCCATATTTGTCCTTTTGCCAATATTTGAGGAAGCTCGTATGAAGGTATCTTCAACATATACTTTTATTTTTAATCAAAGAAAATTGTGGTTCTTATTATTCTTGATGGCATTTGCACTTGCTAGGTTTTCTTTACTATTGAAATCCGATCTGTTAACTCCTTGCCCTATAGTTACCTCCCATAATGTTTCTTAATGTGATGTGTTATTTTTTGCCTATACCATATTGAATTATCAGGAATGTACTTTCAGAAATGATATTAATAATTAATTGGATTGATGACATACACATTATTCCATTGATGATAGTGGGTACTGTGTCATGTCATCAGTTTATAATGAGTGGAGCCCTAAAAGTTGCAAATCATATCATACATCATGTTTTATCTATGAATGTATTGACAAACCCATACCTAATTGTTGTGTGATAATTCCCATTGAAAATATGATGGATCTGCTCTTATTCATTCAACCCTGTTTATACATCAAACAAAAATATTTACCTTTATGCATATATTTAACTGGAACATTTACGTATCTGCTAATTTTTTGTCTATCAAACTTTAACATGCTGATTCTTTAATAAAAATGATTGAAGTTCTCTCCCATAATATCAGTTTTTAGTGCATGGACCAATTTCACACTACAGCATTAGTATTCACAAAGTTATTCAGTTTATTTCTTGAGTGATCATCACATTATATATCATTATAAATTGGCCATCATAAAATAAATGAGCTAATGCTGTGTGACCAATCATAATATTCAAATGCAGAAGGCAAGTGATCAAGGGGTGTTTAGACAATTGGATGAAATTCTGTATGTTGATGGCTATCCGGGTTATCAGCATCTATTTTCTGTGGCAAAAGATACCATGAATATGGTTTGTGAAGTGAAAGGTGATATCTTTTTTGTTTTGTTTTGATTTGTGTTGTAATAAGAATTGGCCTGTATCATATGTTATTAACAAATTTAATCTCATTTGCTAATGCATAACATAATGAATTTGACTGTGTACTTCACATTTGTTTTGTATTCAAGTATTGGATCTTGCTTTTGAGATTCATGTTTCTTGGGTTGTTTATATGTTATTTTACTATTATTCTATATAATGACTTAGGGGTAGCCACTGTTTGGTCCGAATTGGAACCAAACCGAGTCAACAGTTCAGCAGTTCTGAACCGAACTGGAACAGGGGCCATACGGTTCAGTTCTGGTTCTTAGAAATTGGAACCGAAACTGGCGATTCCAAACCAGCTAAATATGAAAAAAATAAAAATAAAGCACAAATAGCTTCCATGGTATAGTGGTTAGTACTTTAGATTTAAAGCCTATTGACATGGGTTTGAATCTTGGTGAAGTACTTTAATTTTTTCTTTTTTATTAATCGAAATCGGTGGATCAAATTACTGGAACCGGCAGTTCTAGAACCGGACTGCATGGAATTGATTCAATTTCAATTCCAAATTTGGTGAAATCGGAACCAGAACTGAAAATGGCGGTTCGCGGATCACCCTTATAATGACTACATAAAATAGACTTAACTCAATATTTGTTGGATAATTCTATGGTTCTTTTTTTTTTTGGAAATATTAAGCTTGTAGTCTGATTGCAGTTTCTTTCTGAAGTAATTTATTCAGAATATGTTCTTGAAGAGTTCTCTGAAGATAATTGTGCCCGTCATGAACTAGCATTACGACTGTGAATTTCCAAAATGCTTTAGCTAATGTATCTTTTCCTTCAATTCCATGTGTGCTTTCTCTGTTGCATAAATATCCAAGTAGGTTTCTGATCCGTGATATCATTCAGTCCTTAATGAAACCAAAGATCATAGGTCATGTATTTACTATGGGTAACTCTTTCTAATATCCTTTCATTGTTTGCTGTAGAAATTGGATCCTCAAAGTTCTTCAGACTTGATAATTCAAGGGTCCTGGCTTGGTTGTGTTGTAAGGTGTGTCTTCATCTATTTCCAGTACAAGTGAAAAGATTGATCTTATTACCTAGTCATTCCAGGATCGTGAAATCATATATTCATCTATATCTGTCTGATGTATGTTATTGCTGCTATACATGGAATATAACTGCTTTCTTCAAGTTCCCTATTTATGCAAGTATCACAAAATAATTTAATTTTTTGAGTACATGAGTGGAAGATACAAGAAAATATTTCAAAGCATATGAATCAGCTATAAAATACATATAAAGAGATAGACAGCAATACTGCAATAATTTGTTTATTTAAGGTTCCTTGGCTAAAACATCAGAACATCCTTGACAGCAAACTTGCACAATCAAAGTCCTGGTTACGCTTCAGATCTTCCGAAAGGGTTACTAGTGAGCTAAATTCTGAAAACTGAAGCCCAATTGTACTGAGAAATCACATCCTGTATCAGATCTAAATTTTGACTCTTGTTTATAGAATAAAGTCTTTCAGGATGCCTATGTCACTCGAAACGAATTTGTAAAGTTTGAGTGAGCTAAATGATGAGTTGATAATTTGGTTTGATCTAAAGAATTGAAGCTTCTGACAGCCAATGAACCCTGAACCAAGGTTTAGCTCCTAATTCACCAGAATACCTAAGTCACTCTTATAACAAATTTGTGAAAGTTTGAGTGAGCTAAGCACTGAGTTGATAGTTTGATTTGGCCCAAAGAATTTAAGCTGCCGGCAGTTAATGATTCCTAAGCCAAAGTTAAGTTCCTAACTCTTGGTGAAGAATTGTAGCAGTAACCAATGCCTAATAGTTCAATAAATATATGAAAAGCTCGTAGCTTATATTATTCATAGATATTTTTTTCAGAACTTATTATGCCATATCACGATCTCCTTTGTTGTGGCAAGTGAAGCAAGTGGCATACACAGATATGCTTATGATCTTTGGCCTGGGGACTAGTACGAGATACTATCAATGCCAGAAACAAAAAACAAATAGAAAAAGCTAAGAACCTATAAGTCTGTGGTGACATGTAGGTTCAATAATTCATATTTTATTTAGTAACATGGATTCTATCGTTCTATACATTATGGACCACAGCTAAGGTTTTGGTTTCATGCTAATGATCTTTATCGCAGCTGTCAAATCAAGAGAGTAGACTTGTATCTTTTAACTTTTAGAAATCTGTTCTCAATCTGAAAAACAATGCACTTGGTGTGACTTTTCGCATACTGTAATACATGAAATCGTCAGAGGTTGATTCATGGAACATTTCCTCAATCATTGTTTCATCTCAAACTGATTCAAATGCTTTCATCTAGGACTTCCATCCCCTTGCTCGAGATAAAAAAATATTCATCAACTACTGATGTGTTGTTGTTTGCGTTGGATCGTGGCTTTCATTAGTTTTTTATTTTCTTGTGCATAATTTTTTCCCATAATCAGAGAAGTATGAATTGAATCCTCATATTTTCTTTTTATTTGCAGGTACAACACTTAAAAGCAACATTGTTAGAATTGGACAAAAACTACACTGCTCAAGAAGAAGGGGAAACATGTATGGAACTATAACTATTATATAAATTCCAGTTCCATATTCGGTTACTATGTCTATTATTGGACTGACAGAATTTCACATAGCCAAGATCATGTGGAGGGTTATACAGGGTACCGTAATGATTGTACCATACCTTATTAAGTGAAAATAGCAGAGAAAAAAGATATATTTATATTTTTAATCTATCACAAATGTCCTTCTACTAGACAGCCTCTTTATTCCTAGACAGTACAGCTTCATTCTTGTTTTTGCTGTTGTTATTAAGACTTCAATCTTAATTAAACAAGGACCCTGATACATATTTGAAATTAAATTCCGTATGGTTTAAATACTCTTGACTCTTCACAGGACTAACTTTGACCTTCTCAGTAATTAACAGAAGGAGAGGTGAAGGTCATCGGTTATAGTTATCTAGAACCCTGTACAACTTAAACCGAATCCTAGATTATTTGAATTGTTACTCATGGGTTGTTTGACATAGGCTTGATGTTCCTGTCTCACAGTGAAGGATGTTATCTCAATCTTGGGTGAGTATGTGAAGGATGAGCCTTGGTTGATGCTGCTTTGCAGTCACTTGAAGTAAGACCTGTTTCTGTGGCTATGACCAAATTCCAATTACATTCTGCAACCTGATCTGCATAATGTGTTGATTTTCAAGATGATGTCACTTCTTTTGAGTTCTTTTCAGGTTGGATATTGAAGAAACACACAAGGAAACAACAAAAACCATGACAGGCCAAATTTTCCTAGAGAATAATTCAGAATCTTGTCATACTTTTCAGGTACTTCTGGAAGACCCAGCAGACTCCTCTTTTCCACGAACTGACCTGCTACTTGTCTGCTAAGGTTCTTCTGAACGATTGGTGTGTTGGCTGAATATTTATTTGCAGAGTAAAGTAGAGAATGGAAGGAGCATGACGAGCAATAGAAGACAATCAAAGAGACCAAAAACAGAAACCAATTCGCAGAACATTAAAGACATGTTCCGCAGGGTTACGAGAAAGGGTACATCATGAATCTGGATTGAAAGATGTGTTAACCTGTTGTTGGTCCTTTGTTTTTTACCTGTAAAATGATTTTATATTGAAGACCCCTTGATTTTGTTTTAGCACAAAAAATTCTCCGCTTAATTGTTTGGGTTCTTATTCTCAAGTGTGCAGCCATGATCAGTCTAAATAATTCAGTTCAAGTGGTATAGTAAAACAATGCAGTCTCCAAACTACTTTCTGCGAGTCCACAACTCGTGAGAGAACTGTAAGTTTCTCCTTCAAAAGTTGATTGATCATTTTTCTTTCCGCTACGATAATATTCCTTTGAGCCGACACGCCTTCTAATGTTGTTTACTGAATGTATTGTCTACCACATGCTACAAATTTTTTTTTGTATATACCTTTCAATTGAAAAGATTTTATGTTTGTTATCATTTTTACTATCCTTTGCTATAATTTATAGTTCATGATCAATTATAAAGTGATCTATTACTAAGATTTGCTCCGATGTTCCCTTTTTTTTTCTTTTAATAAGATTAAATCTGTGTTTTGAATAAAAAGTGCCACGCGCAACAAGGAAGAAGAATCGTAGCACTAAAGATGTTGCGCAGGAAGGAAGAAGAAGATATCACGCGTGACATCTCATCATTGCCAGTGTCTTCCGTGGTGCACGAGATGGTTGCATGGCCTCGGGGTGCCGTGGCCATGATGGTAGTGTTGGTGGCCGTGCACTCGAAGATCTCCGGCGGCGGCGGCAGATGCGTCGGGCTTCTCGCACCAGCTATGCAACTTCTCCCGCATAGAGGCCTGGCGGACGCAACGCTCGGCGGCTGCGACCGGATCGACGGGACTTCTGCAAGAAGGTTCTGAGGCACGGAGGAGGAGAAGGAAGGCTCGGATCTTTAGAGGGGAAGACCGGCGGTCTCGGCTCGCTAGGTCGTATTCCTCGACGAGGTTGGCGAGGTCCTCGTCGGAGGTGACGGAGACCAGGGCGTCCATGTCCTCCGTTGGCAGCTGGCAACGGAGGCTCACCGCGCCCCACCCGCACAACTCCCTCAGCTTCACCTGCAGCTCTGTTCCACGCACACGTACGCATGATTCCTAGTACCTCCGTGCTTCTCCCGACCTGTATCCCACAGTAAACAGAAGCAGAGTGGAGGCTACCTGAGAAGGAGATGGATCTGCGGACGGCGACGACGCGGGTGTGACCGCTCACGTAGCGGAGCCTGCCGTCGGGGCGACGTGGGAGAATCTTGCCGCCGTAGCTGCAGAGGAGCTTCACGGGTTCCGTGGGCACGACTGAGACGTCGTCCAAGGAAGCGCAAGAGGAGAGCGAGGAGGCTGAGGTCCCAACCATGTCTTCCTCTCTTCTCCTCCTCCGACCTCAGAGCTGCTGCTGCTGGCTTCAGGCTTCACATTGGCACCGTTCGCCCTTCATTTATACTAAGAGAAGAAAAGTGACGCCTGTGTGCTAATGATAAGGCTCTGATGTCATTGAGGAAGGAAGATGCCAAGTCGCATCACCCACCCTTTTCCAATTTATTACTTAGTAAAAACCTTTTCTTTTTAATTAATGCTACACGATGCCTACGTGGAATTGGATGTTGCTGACTAGGACATGCCTCGCAACTTTTAATTTTTTTAAAAAAATAATTTTTAGCCACGCGAACTCAAACATTACTCCAATACATCAACCACTATAATATCTTAACAAGGACTTTGTAATTATTATTAGGATCGATAATTTTTTGGGTTTAAGATTAAAACAGTTGTTCTAATCCAACGAGCTATTATTATTATTATTATTATTATTATTATTATTATTATTATTATTTAAAAATAAATAAATGATGAAGAAAAGATTTGATCTTTCTTAATTTCTTTGACCAACTTGTACTCATACACCACTATTGACTCAATCCGAACCTTAACGAGTTCTGACTCTCAAAAACGTGGGCGTAGACTTGTCATGTCCGAGAATAGAATAGATAGAGATAATGCACCAAATAACGTGAGGTGATGCGTGTCAGCTTGTTGAATCGATGCAGGAAATGTTTATCCGGTGGACATGGCAGATAAGCATCTCGATTTTTTATATGGTCGGTGATAACGCTGACCCACAATCCAAATAGCATGGGCCCCAATTTTTTTCTCCAATGATCGTGTCCAAGTCCCCCACCCAATCATCTTAACGGTGAAGGTTTGACTCTGCTCCTGACAAGCTTGCCGTGCTCGTCCCGTTCCTTCGTGGCTCGAATTGTCGTTTGGGTGTTTGGGTTGGTTTAGTGTGTGTTTGATATTTCTTTAATGCGTGTGGATAAGGGCGTCCATAGAGCCACAATGTTCGGCAAGGATCGGAATATCCCAGGGATCAAGTATCAGATTCTTCACCTCACCTCCGCCAAATCGATTTAATTCCAGTGAGAAATCTTTTTTTTAATTTAATAAGCGGTGGAGATTAGCTATGACATCTTGGAAAGTGTTTTGAACAACCAGTGTATCATCATCAAATTAATATTTTATATAAATAAATTATTAATATTTTAAGATATCAATTTATTTATAGATCAAAATTTTGAACCTTTGTTTATTATCATAATACTACTATTAATCTCACATCTATTAATCCCTCGTGAAATAGTATGCATCTCTGGTGAACCGGTGAGCTTTGCGGTAACCAATCAATTGGATTGGGCTAAGTAGCATACCAGTCCAAGTGACCTTCCCTCAAACAAGTCCAAGCCCAGTTGCTGCCATGATGATGCTCTTCAAGTCAATTTGCTGCGGCTCAATCTCCGTCTGTGAGTTACAACCTACCAAAAGATTTCAACGGAATCAAAAAGAAGAAAAAGTAACATCCACAATCCTTTAATACCTGGTAAGATTTAGAACCTGCCACATCAATCTCAAGAGACACCACATCAGATAATGATATTTGTACCACAAACTGGAGAAAACAAAGTCAATCTAAAGCTTCTCCTACCAAAATTTCCTCTGCTGCTACGGGATAAGCAAGGAAAGATACCGAGTCCATAAGGTACCAAATGAACTACCCACTGGAGAGAGAAAAAATTGGGCTACCAATCTCAAATATTAGTTTCAGTAATCTTGCAGGCATCGAGGATCACTAAAGCATGTGATAAAAGAATCAAGGAGTTACAGGCTAACGAGAACCTCAAGCTCTGCTCTCAAGGCAAAAATCTATTCATCATACACAACCAAAAAGCTCATCCATGGACTGCTACAGGTCATAATCTTTTAGCCCAAGAAAACTCCCTATCCAAGTCAATTTTATTAAAAGCCATGTTTGCACAGCTCCTTGAGCAGTCTTTGCTCTACAATATTCTCATCAGCGGCTCCTTTTGATGTTAGTACCATAAGCTCACATGCTGTGGAAACTACTGCACGCATTGATCCCCATACATTCTTCAGGCCATGCACCATTAGTTTGATTCCTGGTGAAACTGCTCGTCAAGACAGAGGTAAAGAATTCATCAATTAAAGGGCATTCTGATGTATTCGCATGCATGCAATTCTAATGGAAGATCAGGATCAATAAAACTACAATACACAGAAGCAGGAGACCCTTGTAGAAGTGTTTATGTGCCCGCATAAAGCCTTACTCATGCAACATTATTAAATCCATCCTATGCAAAGGAATTCATGAATCACAATAAATTGCTAGTTACTCCCTTGATAACAACTAACAATGTAGAGGAGACCTAAAAAGGTCTAAATTATAAGACCTAGAAGACGAGGAGGTGGTGGAAAGGAGAGGAGCTGTGTGGGGACGAAGCCATGACCAGGGTGGTGGATGGACAAGGAACGTGAAAGTGAGAAGTGAGATGATCACAACGCTGAAGGAGGGAAAAGTGTATTTATAGAGCATTGGCTTATGTCTATGTCATCATCATACATATCATATTTATCATAGGTAAGCATTATATGTACACATCATCATATTAATATTTAAGAGATTACAATTAAATAAGATTTTGAATCATTAATCTTTGATACATAAGTCTTTTAGATGTAAGAATATCTCAGATAAGTTTTTGAAACATTATTCTACGATAAGTGAACTTTCATCATATTGAAAATATTCAGCCTAAGTTGAAAAGTGACACCACATTTAGCCTTTCTCTTGAACGTCGATTCTTTCCAAAATCATCGACCGACCCACTTCGCTCTCTACTTTCAACATATAACATCAAAGAGTTAGATTATATGGTCCTATTTAATTAGATAAGATATAATTAGATTCTGATTATGATTATTAACCAATAGAAAAGAAGTTAATGTTAAAATAGGATTCCTAAGGAAATAATCTTGGAAGAAACTCTCCTAATAATTTATCCTAGTCCAGACAGAATCTCTAGGGGCTAAAAGCGAGGCATCTTAATGTAATTGAGAGATTAAAGTTTTTCTCTCAATCTTCCTAATCTATCAATCTAGGTGATCATATAAAGTTTATTTTTCTGAACAAACAAGGTATGCATCTTAATATTGTTAGACCCAATTTATTTGATTTAAATATTGACATAATAATTTTTTCGCATTATAGATAGCATAATTATGGATTTTATGCTAATAATTGGTATCAGAGCTTAGGTTCTTGAGATCAAATATATTAGATCTATTATTTTTATTTACGATGCATAAATGATTCGTTGGATATTATTGATCTGGATTTTTCATATGATTTGCTCTATCGTTAATTTTGAGCAATGTATAATTTTTATGTTTGCTCGATGAATTTATGTTTTCTATCGATGTTATTGAGACAATGATCTTTGTTGATCGTTGTTGACAACCCCACTGAAGGGCCATGTACCACCTTGCAGCTGTGCATCACGGCCACACGCGAGCAGAGGTCCGCTTGCGAGCGGAGGCTGCACCACGCAACGTGTGCGTCGTAGCAGCTGCGTTGGGCAACTTGTGCGCGCAGGGGCGCCTGCAAAAGGGCGGTGGCCGTAGATGCCGTCAACCACTGCCCCCGTGGGCAGAGGGCAACGACAACGGTCGCGTGCATGCAAGAGCCACGACTAAGTGGCAGCCGCGCCCAGGCGGCGGCCACACGCAGTAGGAACCGCTGCAGCGACGTGGCAACGTCGCATGCGCAACATTATAGCATTGCTCTAATTTATGGGCAAAATTATAGTATTGTTCTAGGGTTTCCCTTTGGTAAAATTATAGCTTTGCCCTTCTATATTTTATTAATATCATTTCATTCTTTTGACATATTTATAGTTTTATCCTCGAGGTTAGAGTTTTATCAAATTATAATTTTACCCTTTACAAATTTTATAATTTCATT